TCCACAAGTAATCTCCAGTCCATCAGTAATGTCTTGTGAAGCAAAGGCTGCATCTTTGTAAGAAACAAATCAATTCTTAAGCTCATCATTTAACGTCAAACAATTGCTTCTGGCTCAAAGACGAGCCCTCTATTTATAAGATTGCTTTCTCCAATGAAAAATTCATGTTGTCCAAATCAGGAAAGAAATATGCACATAGTTCTGAACAAATATGTCAGTGAATTTTAATGCGAGAGGACAGCAGGGAATGGACTTTTTTCACTGATGGAAGCATTATTTAAGGTTTAAAGTTAAAATGCCTTAATGATGGATTTGTTTCTTATAAGCGCACAGCTTTTCACTTCACAACATGTTCACTGGTGAATTGAGTCATGTCAATTACTTTTGGATTACTGTGATGTTTTTATCAGCCATTTCAACTGTCATTCTGACGGCACCCATTCACTGCAGAGGATCCATTGGTGAGCAAGTGTAATGCTGTATTTCTCCAAATCTGTTCTGATGAAGAAACAAACTCATCTACATCTTGAATGGCCTGAGGGTAAATAGATGTTCAGCAAGTTTTCATTTTTGGGTGAACTATTCCTGTAATGTATCTTTTATACTAGATAAATTGCTCTTTGTTATATTTTCTTAACGCAGCCCTCTATTTGCTTGTCATTTTAAGCTAATCTCTTCCCACAATTTATGGGAACAAGGTTCAGCAACCAAATTGTAAACGGGAAGAACATTAAAGTCATTACCAAAGGGTATGCAATCTAAGAGAGTTTGGCTTTGTGTTGAGGTCCCACGGTGAATGAAAGCATGTTGTCTTTTAAAGGAGAGCCATGTGATGAGAAACCAGTGGAGTATGTGACAGTGACCATCAACACTGTGGATAAACTTACTGACCACTATAATGTCCTGGAAAAACTCGGAGTGTGAGTATGCTTATCAAACACACATTTAGCAGGCCACATAGCTCTTGCTCAAAGGACCTGTCAAGAATAACACAACTTGCATGAATACATGTTCCAACAGGCCTACTTGCATCAAAAAGAGAAAACAACCCCTATACTTGATTCTGATTCCCAGAAAAATGCAAAATAAGACAGGTTAGGTTAGAGGACGGTTTTGTACATTTCACAGGAAATGACTCATAACCTATAATTTATACATTTAAGAGGTGTTAAAAGAAATGTTTCCCTGAACTGAGTCCTGAAAATACTGGTTTAAGGCTGAATATCAAATTCACTTAATTCTCAAGAACTGGATAAATGGGAAGTTAGGATATTGAGAAATAATGATTCCTTAAATATCACATACTTTGGGTTTGTAAGCATGATTTCATGTTCAATTGTGAATCTTTCCCAGAGGGAAGTTTGGCCAGGTGTTTCGGATGACCCATAAGGAGACGGGCCGAGTTTGTGCTGGAAAGTTCTACAAAGGTCGTCGGGCAAAGGAGAGAGAGGCCGCAAGGAAAGAAATAGAGCTAATGAATTTCTTACACCATCAAAAACTCGTGCAGTGTCTTGCCGCATATGACAACAAGGCTGAGATGGTCATGGTGATGGAATAGTGAGTATCTTGCATGTGGGCATTTTGAAGGGTGCAATGTTTTTAGAAAAATATCCAGAGATGAGGAATTCCAACAGGTTCAATACATGTATAAATAGTATAAAAATAGTGTCAATAGTTTTGTCATTATAATATTTTGGTACCTAACACAGCTTAATCTATGTCTGTATGTGCAGTGTTGCTGGTGGAGAGCTGTTTGAGCGCATTGTAGATGATAGTTTTAAGCACACCGAAGTGTCCAGTGTGGGCTACATGCGTCAGATTCTGGAGGGGATTCAGTACATGCAACAGCAAAATGTTATCCACCTGGACCTCAAACCTGAGAACATTGTCTGTGTAGACAGAACTGGGATTCAGATCAAAATCATTGACTTTGGACTGGCTAGCAAGCTGGGTACGAATGTACTGACGATATTGTCAACACAACATATGCTATAATAAAACTGTGTATAATGAAAATAAAATAAAATTATGAATATCATTTTCATAATTATGAATACAAAATATTCACTTTGAATAAAATATAAAACATTATCACACTTATATATCATTAATATAATAATAATATAATAAAGTGCTTTTGTATAAGTGACAGTTTGTCCACAATTATGACTGAAGGAACACATGATACACTGTTAATAACATGTTAATCTAGACTTTATTTGAATGATGTGCTAATACCATGGCATTTTTCAAAGTATTTTTCAGTACTATGGTATATAGCAAAGTACCATGGTATGCTTATACACAGAACTTTTTGTAAGGGATCTCTTAGTGAAATATTTGGAGGTTTATCATCATTAACTAAAACTATAATTTTTTTGTTAATTTAAATAAAGTTGAAATAAAATAAAAATACTAGTTGAAAGCTAAAACTGAATAGAAATGACAAATTATGCCTTGTCAACTAATTGAAATAGATAAAAACTAAAACAGAAAGAAAAATCAATTAAACCTAAATAGTAATATTTAAAATAACAAAAAACAACAAACGAAATTACTCAGTATTCAAATTAAATTAAAATGAAAACTGAAAATATAAATATTCGAGCGAATACAAAATGTTAATAAAAACTATAAATAATATAGAAATATTACTAAAATAACAATGAATGTTTGTTGTGCACATTAGATCCCAACACACCTCTGAAGGTGATGCACGGCACTCCAGAATTTGTTGCTCCAGAGGTCATCAACTTTGAGCCGGTCTGTCTGGCCACTGACATGTGGAGTATCGGGGTCATCTGCTACATCCTGTGAGTTCAAACACCTTATATTGGGAGATATACTGTAGAGTGATAACTTATATTTATATGCATTTTATATAAGTAGTCTGGTATACAAGCTATAAGAATTGATTTACAAGCTATAAGAATTTAATCTTTAAACTTTTTGGCTGTATAAATAACAATATCTGCACCAAATTGCATTTTCTCACTATATTATTCACTATGTTCTTCACTAATCAGTCAATTCATTTGAACAACTGACTCATAAGAGTCATACATTCATTTATCAGACTCCACTGCATTGTTTTTGTGTGCACATAGCAAACCTCATTCTCTTTTTTTTATGATTGTTTTGTTTCTCTGTTTTTAGAAAACAGGCAAAGCTTTGCTGGCTCTGAAGAGGATGGCTATGTTGTCTAAACCAGAGGCTTCCGCAAGCTTGAGCCCTGTAGATGGTGAGAAAGAAATCAGACATAAAAGAAAAATCAATCTGCTACAGAAACCAGTGTAAAATACTGTACTGCAGAATGTCACCAAAATAGATTGTGACGTGACATCTCTGACAACTGTGGCTTGTGATATGTCTGACTGAAGGTGTCAAACACCTTCACCCACCTTTATATAGTGACGGACGTTTTTACAGTTCAATAATACTTTTTCTTGCGCTTTGTTGTTATAGAGACGGAGCAGGCACTGCAGTCTCTGGAACTGAAGCTTCAGTGTAAACCTGAGTTCAGCAAGACTTCATCTGACCTGACTGTCCCGCAGGGCTCCGGCGCCCAACTCTCCTGTCTCATCACAGGTTAGGACACACAGATGGATGTCATTGACCTTCTCCATAGACATCATGATAGCTCCCTTTCGAGCCAGTCTCATGAAATCACAGCAACTTCTCTTGGTGTTTCAGGTTACCCTGACCCTGAGGTGGTGTGGCTGAAGGACGGTGAGCTGCTGGAGCTGCAGGAGGAGTGTGTGAAGGTGGACTATGAGGAGGACGGCAGCTGTACTCTCACCCTAGAGAACGTCTCTCCGCACCACAGCGGCCTGTATTCCTGCAAAGCCACTAATGTACTCGGGGAGGCACTGTGCTCTGCTACTCTTACTGTAGAGGAGAAAGACAAAGACATGATAATGGCATAAAAATCACATAAATCCACACACCAGACAGATTAAAATATACTGATGCAATCAATGCCGATATAACTGTGAATTCAGTGTTAAAACTGTAATAAAAATCTAATTGATGCTATTATGCTTATTATTATTTATGTTTGTTATTCATGCTTATTTTTAGATTATTATTGGACTTTGGTTTAATATAATTGTGAGCAATTTTTAGCACTGTATGAGCTTTCAACACAGTCTTGATTTTTCAAAATGTTAAAATTTTCATTTTAACAAATAGGAGTCTAAATGGATTTAAAGAACTATTTAAATCAGCATGAATTGAAAATTCACCTACTTTCTAAATGCATTATATATTAATATTGTTCTGAACATTTCCTCCCTGCATATTTTTCTTCAAAATGTCATAACTCCAACTTTTCAGTGAAACGTCAAACTTCTTCAGTCATTTAGTCCGCTTAAATACGCCCACAATCCACTGCAAGCTATATTCAGATCTGGCAATATTTTGAGTACAATTCCCACATATTAAAATCAACAACCAATGAATAAGACCAAGTTCCAGAAGAGTTCAGAAAAGATCTGACTTGTGACAACTTGCTCGAAAGACATTCCCAGTGAACTGAGACAACTCATTAAAATGTCAAAATGTCAAGCATCATGCTGTTATTAATGTCCAAACAGGCTGTTTGAAGACAGACTTTACATACACATTTGACAATAAAAATGCAGATTTGATAATAAAAAAAAAGTGTTTTATTGAAAAAAAGGCATTCTATTTGCCTGATACACACTAATCTGCACACGTGCTTGTTTCCTCTGTAAAGAGTCATTCTATTCATTTGAATTGTATAATTTTATGAACTTCATTGGAATCCTCAAAACTGCTCTATGGTTTCATCTCAAATTTGGTAACCAAATGTACATATGCTGATCTCAATGTAAAGGAAACCTCCTAAGACACATTTGCAGGTTTGATTATATCTGTTACTGATGCAGTACGTGCCATTTTGACAAAGTAAAGCCATGTTGTGGTTATTTGACACCAGCCATTTGCACATAAGGCTGACGTGTCCATATCAGTAACACTAAATGTTGCAGTCATTTGTGACCACGGTATTTGTTTGAGAATGGAAGAGCACATCTACTAGGCTTTTAAAAGCCACACTTTTAGACAATTCTGGTTGTTCAATAGGTATCAGACCATAAACAAATGACACCATTTATTTTCATATATATATGGTTATTTAATGCTTATTTTATGCATGATGGGTTTTCAACTGGCCACCTGTCAGAATAGCCAATCCTACAAGTGATATGCAATCATTTGTTTCTGTCAGATTTCCATATGATCTAAACATAATTCAGCAATAAACTGAATTGTCCCTGTCATGGTAGTTTTCCTACAATTTGCATCTGGATTGTACAGAAAATAAATCAACAACATGGTCTGTCAAGAGTATGAAACAGCTTATTTTCATGTTGAACTCAGTAACACAGTGTGAGGGTCATCTAAAAGGATAAGTAGACAAGAACAAAACAGAAGAAAGCCTTTCAGTGCCATGTTGTTTTTTTACATCTTCATGCCAAGGACCGTGTTCTTGATCAGACCTCAGGTCAACGGTCAACTGCACGATAAGCAGGAAGTCAATAAAAGCAAAAATGTGAATTCTGGACATTCGATTTTTAAAGGGTTACTCCACCCCAAAATGAAAATTGTGTCATTAATCACTTGCCCCCATGTCGTTCCAAACCCGTAAAAGCTTCGTTCGTCTTCGAAGCACACTTTAAAGGGGTCATATGATGTTGCTAAAAAGAACATTATTTGGTGTAAAGCAATGTGTTTATGCTGTTTAAGGTTAAAAAACACATTATTTTTCATATAATGTACATTATTGTTTCTCCTCTATGCCCTGCCTTTCATGTCGATTTTTACCGAGCGGCAACCTCCCGCTCTCTCTCATGAAGCCAACACGGAACTGACTTAAACTGTAATTCGTCAACTGTCCGCTAGAGGCTGGCTGCAACAGGGAGTCAATTCCATAGACTCCCCATGTTAAAATGCCCAACTTTACAGTAGAAAAAAACATGTTTACAGCCTGGTTCAAAAAATGATTTTGGTCTATATAGCTAATTTTGCCCTTCATGACAACTGTGAGGGGGTGAATTTTTTTATAACTCATCCGTTTAAATTATATTAAGCCTTAAAGTTCTGCAAAATTAAGGGCGTGGCCACTTGAGTGACAGGTGGATTGCCGCTGCTGTCACCACCGTCGAGCTAGGTGGGCGTGGTTTCAGCACCCAGCTCCCGCCTCTTTGCCCGATTATCCGGGAGTGACGTGGATGCAAATCTTATGCAAATCTTCCCACATCGTGACGTAGACATGTGGGGGCGTGTTAGAATGAGCCGTTTTAGGTAGGCGTGGTTGACGTATGCTATTCTGTGTTCTGTATTCTGTGCGTGACGCAGCTGACACAGAACAACATATGCTGTTTACGCGCCCGCGCTCGCTCTCAAGTCATGTTTGCGGCTGAATACAAATGATCATCATAATTAATGGACAACTAGACTATATCAGGGAAAAAACATCAGCGCAGTCCGAAAAAAAAGCCCAAAATGAAGCCCGTGCATCACTTTCAGGTAACTACGTCCATAATCCTGAGAAACTTTTTTGACTGTTGACGTTAGTAACGTGTTTTAATGTCGAAAATAATTTCACCACCATCAACAACGCATCTGACTTAATATTCTAGTTTCGGTTACACTTTACTTGAAGGGGTGTGCATAAGACTGACATGACACCTTCATAATCATGACATGACACCTACATAATCATGACATGACACCTACATAATCATGACATGACACCTACATAATCATGACATGACACCTACATAATCATGACATGACACCTACATAATCATGACATGACACCTACATAATCATGACATGACACCTACATAATCATGACATGACACCTACATAATCATGACATGACACCTACATAATCATGACATGACACCTACATAATCATGACATGACACCTACATAATCATGACATGACACCTACATAATCATGACATGACACCTACATAATCATGACATGGCACCTACATAATCATGACATGGCACATGTCATGAATATGAAGATTTTTTATGCATGTTTATGACAACTGTCATTAAGTGTCATTCGCTCAGTTATGTAATTTTTACTGCAAAGAAGGCATGGTTTGAGATGTCTTTGTTATGGGCTATGGTTAGGGGTAAGGGTAGGGTTAGGTTAGGGTTAGGTCAACTAATGTCATATTTGCATTAAAAATGACATAACTGAGCGAATGACACTTAATGACAGTTGTCATAAACATGCATAAAAAATCTTCATATTCATGACATGTGCCATGTCATGATTATGAAGGTGTCATGTCAGTCTTATGCACACCCCTTCAAGTAAAGTGTTACCCTAGTTTCCATTACTTAAAATATATTATATAAAAACTACGAGGCAATATATGGTATATGGTTTAAATATGATTTCAGTGAATAACACTGTTAAAATACATAATGTAATACAAAATAAACAATTGACATTATTACAAATGCCTGCAAAGGGCACCAAAGGCCTGATAACGGCTGTTGTTACACTTACAGGACGATCAAATCCTTGTTTAATATTGACCAAACATTTAATTCAAATATCCACTTCATTTTTTATTTTTGGCCACGTTTTTGCGATAGAAATGGTACATCCTCTTTAATTTCTTCAACAAAAACATGTGGACATCACAACCCTTACAAGAATTAATCATGGTTTTATCATAGTAAAACTGCTTAATTTTATTTTGTGTGATTTCTGATTGCTTGAGACCATAAAATCAATCAGACAACTGTATTAATAAAATCATAGCCAAAGGTGACTATCTAGATCTACAATTGTAATTTATAAATAATACAATTGAATTACAATTTATTTATTTACTTTTATATTTGACCAAAGTTCTATTTTGACCCCTTATAGTAGGACCAAACATTTAATTCAAATATCCACTTCATTTTTTATTTTTGGCCACGTTTTTGCGATAGAAATGGTACATCCTCTTTAATTTCTTCAACAAAAACATGTGGACATCACAACCCTTACAAGAATTAATCATGGTTTTATCATAGTAAAACTGCTTAATTTTATTTTGTGTGATTTCTGATTGCTTGAGACCATAAAATCAATCAGACAACTGTATTAATAAAATCATAGCCAAAGGTGACTATCTAGATCTACAATTGTAATTTATAAATAATACAATTGAATTACAATTTATTTATTTACTTTTATATTTGACCAAAGTTCTATTTTGACCCCTTATAGTAGGTTTTTTTGGTTTGTTTGTTTTTTAGGGAGAGGGCACAACAATACTATTTTGCTTAGGGCACCCATTTGGCCAGCAGCGGCCCTGTTCATCAAAAATATCTTAATTTGTGTTCCGAAGATGAACGGAGGTCTTACGAGTTTAGAACGACATGAGGGGGAACTATCCCTTTCAACCAGCGAGGCTTTCTTGGTCAATCAGCTCCCCAACCATAATTCATATAATTCATGCTGGTCTTTTCAGCAGGTTTGAATGAGCCCCGCACATGGCATACACAAAATTAAGAATTCATTACCACAACTTGTTCACCAAGTTGTGCTAGGTTCCCTTATTTTAGTTGAAGTGATAGTTGGCCCCAAATATTCTGTCATCGCTTAGTCACCCACAAATTGTTTCAAACTTGTATGACTTTGGTTAATATTCAAAACACAAATTAATATATTTTTAATGAAACCTGAGAGGTTTCTGTCCCTCCATTGTTCACAAAAGCTCTGTAAAACAAATCCATATGAGCGTCTGTGTTTATCATATGTGATGCACTCTGACTATGTATGCATGTTTATATAAAAATGAGAGCATAAATTAAATCCTTTCATAATAAAAAATGATCATATCTCTTCAAAAGACTTGGGTCAAACTTGTGCAATTCACATGAATTTGTTTTAATTACAACCTTTTTGAATCTTCAAAGCTTCGGTTACCTGGACATTCGCTGGAGGGATGGAAGCCTCTCAGGTTTCATAAACATTTATTAATTTGTGTTTCAAAGATTAACCAAATTCTAAAAGGTTTGGAATGTCACAAGGGTGAGTAAATCATGACAACATTTTCATTGGGTGAACCATGCCTTTAAATCATGGCTGAGATTCAATTAAGAATTTTTATTACACTTTTAAAATTAAAATTAAAATGAAGGAACAAATAAGTACAACACGGCCACAACTGAACTACACCGAGAGTGTCATGTGCGGGGGGCTTATAGGTTTGTCACTTTACATCAAATGGTTTTGTCTGAAACAGGTGTATGTCATGAGGCAAAAAAAAGAAAAAAAAGTGGGAAATAAGCTGGTTTTGCAAATGGACGTTTGACCTTCTTAATGCAAATATATCACAGATAATGGATGACAGTCACATCAATCACAGCTAGACATCGGTACTATAAAAATCTGTCCCCCTCCCATTAAGGAACACCAGACTTTCCTGCTCCCATGTGGATGAAGAATGGATATGTGGACGACAAACACATCTTCCCAGAGCGTAGACGGGAATTTCTCCAACATTTCATCCCACGAGCAGCTCTGCATAGGATCATACAGCCCGATCCTTGATATCCTAATGCTTGTTGTCAATCTTCCAATAGCCCTCTATGTGGTGATGGACCTATTTCTAAGACAATGTGGTACACCTTCAAGCCCAGGAAACTCATCTCAGTCTTCCCTGAGCGAACTTGTCTTTCTCCATCTAGGCTGCTCTCATTCCTTATATTACATCCGAGTTTTGCTAAGTATCTTCCAGAATCTGGGTGGAGTGACCGCAATCAGACAGGAATACATTACAGCCTTCCACAGCTGCAGTTTGATTGGAGGATCTCTATTCTTCACTGGCATGACTGTAGACTTGTATATTGCTGTGGCTCATCCTGTAATGTATGTGAACCAAAAAGCTACCACAAAGCGAATCCAAGCACTTATATTCTGTACATTGGTATGGATGTACACCGCCACCATGGGAATACTCATGGTTGTTCTGAATATCAGTATGTACCATCCATTGACTATGGCTTCTTTTTGTGCGGCAGTGCCTGTGAGTTTCATCTTTTGTGTGGCTGTGCTGTTTATCTTACTGGATAAGGGAAAGGGCAGTCAGACGTCAAGACCTGACAAAACCAAACAGACCGCTATTCGGTTCATTTTAAACAGCTTGGTTATAGTAGCAATATACTTTCTGCCTCACATCTGCGTATTAATCTACTTCTCAGTAAGTAAGGCTGACTGGCTACATCTGCCATGTCGGGTTCTACCTCTCCTGCTAACAGTCCAGATTTCAGAGTTTGTGACGCCCCTGATCTTCTTTCAAAACACAGGAAAACTGCAAGCATTAGCTGAACGTTATTTAACTGTATGTCGCAATACTGGCAGCTGAAGTAGAATTGTGAAAATTGTGAAACTCTTGCACGCCTCCATCCACAGCAATAGACAGAAGCAAATGTGTAGATTTACATCAGATGTAACTTGAAAAATATGAATACTGGCTGTGAACAGAGGAAAGTTTCATCTTGAACATTGTGCACTTACACTTCTCATATATGTTACATTATTTGTTGTCATGTATATATTGCACAGCCTGTGAAAATTGTTAAACAACTTCTTAAATATCAGAGGAACGACATTTTTCATTGACTCTACATGTGAAAAATAATAAATAAAATTGCGATGTCTTGTAAACACATAGAACTTGATGGGTTACACATTAAAAGATATCTAAATTACACTGCTGTTCAAAGGATTAGGTTTGGTAAGACTTTTTAAATCTTTTGAAAGAAGACTCTTATGCTCGCCAAGGCTGCATTTATTTAAACAATACAGTAAAAACTGTGATATTATGAAATATTACATTTAAGATACCTTTTCTATTTTAATATATCTTAAAATGTAATTTATTCCTGTGATGCAAAGCTGGATTGTCAGCATCATTCCTCCAGTCGTCAGTGTCACATGATCCTTCAGAAATCATTCTAATATGCTGATTTGCTCAAGAAACATTTCTTATCATCAAAGTTAAACAACAGTTGTGCTGCTTAACATTTTTTGTGTAAACCATTATACATTTTTCAGGATTCTTTGATGAAAAGAAATTTGTATTTCCAGATGCATTTTTAAACAATTTTAAGTTCACATTTTAATAGTTTCATCAGTGCAACAAATGAAATGCATGACAAAAATAAACTAATCAATTAGTGAATTTAAATTTACAAATATAATATGGTCTCTTAATAAATAGTCAAAATGGCACTCTCTAAACATTTTTTTATCAAAATGGTGTTAAAAATAGGTTATACAGCATATTACACTGCAGGGGTGAACTACCCATTACTACTTTTCAAATACATTTTAAATAAGATTTAAAAACTAGCTGAAATCAAAAACCATGACAGACGTTTTCAGTGAATGTTTTATTTAGTTAAGCGTCTCATTAACAAACGTTACAGAAAAAAGGGTTACAGTCAATGTTTACTCATAAACATGATACAAACTTAATGATAAATTAAAATTTTACCTCTGTTAAATACATATAAAGGAGTTTGTGCTGCCTTGACAGTGACAATTCACAGTGGGCCTTTGCTCATAAAAAAAAAAAATACTATTAGTGTCTTATGCTCACCGAGCATGCATTTATTTGAACAGAAATACAATATACAAACAGTAATATTGTGAAATATTATTACATCTTAAAACAACTATTCTACTTGAATTCATTTTAAAATAAAACTTATTTCAGCTGAATTTTCAGCGTCATTACTCCAGTCTTCAGTGTCACACGATGCTTCAGAAATCATTCTAATATACTGATTTGCTGCTTAAGAAACATTTCTTACTATTATTAGATTTGAAAAGCAGTTTGAAAACTGCTTAATATTTTTGTGCAAACAGTGATACATTCGTTTCACGATTCTTTGATGAACAAAGTTCTAAAGCATTTATTTTAAAATGCAAATCACTGCAACATTGTAAATGTTTTTACGGTTTCTTCTGATCGATCCATTTAATGGATCTTTCCAATCTTTAGAGAGTAAAAGTATTCACTAAAACAAAATCTTATTTTACAAGATAATATTCTCTTTTACATGAGATGTGTTAATCATTTATGACTAACCAGGTCCTGCATCTCTTTCTGCAGCCGTGCCACGGTCTTCCGACTCCCCACGGCAAACACAAACGTGTCCATGTCCTCCTCATTCAAAGTCACTTTGACTTGCTGTGGAAAAGGAAGAGTGAGACTTAGAAGAACACACTTTTGAACATCCATCTGAGATACTACTTGGAATCAGTCTATGTTAATACATCAGAATTTGTGTGTGCCTACCACTTGATCACAGGCTGGTCTCATCATCCTGGCCAACACATTCAGCAGGTCCTGTCTTTTCAAAAACTGCAATTGAACAAAAATGACACCATGGTGAATACACGGAAATCTATCAAATATCTTTCCTTCTCTTATTCACATATACACGCTACCTTAAGCTGAATCAACATCCCCTCACAGCAGACACGTCCTGAGCACCACAGGTTGTAGATGTGCTCATTCTCCTGGTTCAGTTTCCCCGTACTGGTGGCCTCCTTACTGGTACCGTCATCCCCTAAAAATAAAAACACATTTGAGAGTCAGACAAAAACAGGGTCAGCGAAAATGGCATAAGAAGAAGAAACAAAGTGGAGAGAGGTACACTTACCCACGAGGGCAAAGTTGCTCTCGAGAAGTTCTCTGTGGGAATTAAACCAAGCCTGGGCAAGTCTGCTGTTCTTGTTTTTGCCAATTATGTAGTTCATAATATAGGCAAGAAGACCCGTGACCATCAGGATCTCCATGTAATAACTCTCCCAGCTGTTCTGAAGGTGTGCTGGGACCTGTTACATACACACAAACAGTCATCTAAGGAAGCCAATGTAGTGCCTGTAAAAGCCAAATGCATTTTTTATTTCATTTATACCTCTCTGTATATAAGAGTGTTTTTGAAAGAAGGGTTGGTCTTCTCATAGCCCTCAAACTCCTCGTTGTCATACTTGCTGTACATGTCTTGATCCTGTAACATCAGTCAGATTAAATTAAGATTAACTTTGACTTGCAGAAAAACAGAAATAAGAATGGCTTTTCACGTCTTTACTTGTGCATCAGCATCTTCAAACTCATCCTGGCCGTCTTCGTTCTCTACTGTGGCCTCGTCTTCGTCGTCCTCTATGGGTGTAGATGCGGGGGCTGCTCGTGGGGGTGGCTCTTTCTGCACATCCACTGCTGGGTCCTCGCTGACATCCTCAAACTCAGCAAAGTCATTGTCATCAAACTCAGCGATGTCCTCACCATCATCAAAGTCATCATTGTAGCGCCCCCTAGTGTCCGGCAGGGCCAGCAGCAGCAGCAGGGCTGGGAGGAGGAAGACCAGGTGCCTCATGGCTCAACCTGCACAAACAGACAATGACAAATGAACTGAAGATTTGATGTTTTTGAAAGGAGTCTCATTCTCTCCAAGATGACATTTATTTTAATTCAAAATACAGTGAAAACTGTAATATTATGAAATATTATTACAATTTCAAATAACTCTTTTCTATTTTAATATATTTGAAATGTAATTTATTCCTGTGATGACAAAGCTGGATTGTCAGCATCATTACTCCAGTCTTCAGTGTCACATGATCCTTCAGAAATCATTCTAATATGCTGATTTGCTGCTCAAGAAACGTTTCTTATTTTCTTCAATGTTGAAAACAGTTGTGCTGCTTTTTGTGGAAAACTGTCATACATTTTTTGCAGGACCCTTTGATGAACAGAAAGTTCATAAGAACAGCATTTATTTTAAATAAAAATTCTTTGTAACTAGTGGTCGACCGATATTGGTTTTTTGACAGCTGATGTCGATATCTTGGAAAGCAGGGTGGCCGATGGCCGATTTAATTTTATTTATTTTAATTAATATTTAAGAAATTTGAAATCATTTGAAAATGGATTTAAAAATAAATGTGTAAAATAAACATACTTATACTTTAGATGACAGTGTATTTTTCACAAATAAATAAATATTTAATAAAAAGTCAACATTGTAACCAACAGGGCACCAAGTAATCTGGGAAGTTTGTGCGCATTGGGAATAATATATTTTTCAAATAAAGCCAAAGTAACAGTCATTTTACATACAGCACACAGTGAAAATGACATGAATATGACAGTGGGCAAATGCATAAATCGCAGCATAATTTGAAATCACGAGTTTAAATTTTGTTGATCGCGCATCTCCAGTGAGGCTGAACTCTCCTGTCCGCATTCAATTCACACAGACCGACCATCACGCAGAGCATACGTGATCATGCAGGATACAAATGCACACTTCACAAGATCTCAACTAGATTCGACGAAGTTTGCAAGGTTTGTGAAATTATATGTTCATTAATAGACATTCAAAGATTTGTTCAAATGATTTAAATGCGTATTTGCTGAATGCTGATGGCAAACGAGACAGTATTATGTTTACTTTTCTATTACTAATAATACTTTTAATAAATATACTTTGTATACATTTTAATTCCTTTGTTTAATTGTTCTATCTGATTATTAGATCGACTTCTATCTGTATTAGACAGAACTGATAACGATGACAGCTAACAAGAGGGACAATGTGAGCACTGTGTGCTCAGACGCTGCCATTCTCAGCGCCGTCAAAATAAAAGTCCCGCCTCTAACGCATCGGCCAAACAGGAAAAACGTATCGGCCGATGCCGATATTTGAAAAAAAAAAAATGCTAAATATCGGCCGATATATCGGACTTGGCGATATATCAGTCGACCACTATTTGTAACATTACAAAAGTCTTTAATGTAACTTTTGATCAATTTTATGTGTTCTAGCTGAATAATTTTTTCTTTCTTGTACTGATCTCAAACATTTGAACAGCCAATCACATGCCTTGCAACACAGAGCAAGTGTGATTCACTTATATGCTAAATATCGGCCGATATATCGGACTTGGCTATATATCAGTCGACCACTATTTGTAACATTACAAAAGTCTTTAATGTAACTTTTGATCAATTTTATGTGTTCTAGCTGAATAATTTTTTCTTTCTTGTACTGATCTCAAACATTTGAACAGTAGTGTATATCCTGAAGTCATTTGTTGGTATACAGACTAACGTGAATGTTGATGGTGTAAACCAGGGGTGTCAAACTCAAGGAGTTTGGAGGAGTTTTGGAATCCTGGAGGAGATTTTAGTTCCAGCCCTGCTCCAACACACATACCATGTAGTTTTCAAATAAGCCTGAAGGACTTGATTTAGTTGGATCAGATGTGTTTAACTAGGGTTGAATCTAAACTCTGCAGGGAACCGTCCCTCCAGGAATTGAGTTTGACACCCCTGGGGCCTGTACCATGATGGTAGAAGAACAAATTCAGACGCATGAGATGCGTTTAGCTGTATATGCATACATTTTGTATCGTATAGGTGTTTCGTCCAGACGGATCTGGCGTTTTGGGAGAGTGAAACTGATATTTTTTTAAAAACCGGGTCCCAGAGTGGATAAATCTGAAAACGCCGCCCTTGCGTTTTCGTGTGGACAGCGGATCCGTATATTTTCTGAAACGATGACATCATCAGCCCACCTCTCGCCCCTAGTCAGACACCGCTACTTCATGTAACAGCAACAAAAACATGAACAAACACTGAACGATTGTCTTTTTATTAACTAACATTAACACAGATTAATAAATGTATTGTTCCATGTTCGTTTGCATACCACGCGCAAGGTTTATGCGCATAGTCCAAGTCTTCTCCGTTTTTAGTGTATATCTGTGGGAGAATTACAGCGCCACATGCTGGTCTGGCATGTATACTACATCGTTTTGTGTCAGTTTCATGTGGACGCAGATATTTCTTGAGACGAGGTGAAAAAATAGATTGGTTAGGGAAAGCTCTGGCTTCGTGTGGACGTAGCCTCGGAGTTACAGGATTAGTTTTGAGTTGACAAAACCAAACCACTCCAATCCGGCTTTGTTGGTACCATGATGCTGATCATCAACTTTCTTTGTCAACTCAGGCTTTGACCCTGAGTTTGTGGAGCGCGTGCACATGAATGTGTGACATCAGGGACAAACAGCCAATCACATGCCTTGCAACACAGAGCAAGTGTGATTCACTTATTTGCGAGAGCCAGCGAGATTCAAAAATCATTTCTTAAAGATTAAGAGATCTTGAGGAATATGAGGATAATAAATGCATTTACACTTAAGTACTTGTCCATGAAAGAGGACAAATAAAATAAATTATCTTGTTCCATTAGTGCAGTCACAAGTAAAACTTGTGAAGTTATATATATATATATATATATATAGTGATTTTTTTTTTTTTTAAA